CAGTGATTCTCATTAAGCACAATCCCTGACACACTATAAAAGCACACATCTTTAGATCAATGATTCTGCCTGCTCATTTGTATGGATTGCTTACCAAGTGTGATGAGAGCAGAGACGAATGCCCTGGTAAGTGTTTTTTTAGGGCCATGCCTTTGGTTATGGGTACAATTTTGCTTCTGGAGAAATGTTCCTGCAGCAATATGAGGAGATATGCCAGTGGAAACACCATTGGCTCAGGACAGCTTTATAAAAACCAGCAAACTATGCTGCTTGAAATAAAAAGATTAAACAAAGAGAAGCTGCCTACCCTTCAGGCCAGGTATAAAAGGCAGTGTTTGAAGAAGGTTCATAGACATAATACCATTAGGAGCAACCAGTGGGCCTCTGTTCACAGTCTTTAGCAGTCTGGACTGGGCTTCCATATTGCACCTTGTCAGAGTAAGATCACCAACTTGGTCTCCCAGAGTCCGAAGAGCTGAGGAACTGGCTCTGATTCTGGGCTTGACCAAGAGGCATTCTCTGCTCTTACCTAACACACTGCATAGATAAAGCTGGTCAAGAATGATGCAGCACACATTAGCAGCATGGCTTTAATGGATGCTTCAATTTGTATGCCAAAGGAGTATAGGAAGAGAGGATATGTAAATGTGTGCTTAGGATATACACTTCCCCTTACAGTGGAAAACCTTCTGCAGTAGTAAATGAGCACCACAATTATGAAGAAACAAAGCACAAAAATAGGCACAGATGACTCCCACCACCTCTGGCTTCACCCCATTCCCACACACAAGTAACTGCACTTTGTTTGGCCAATAGGGTCTAGCACTTCCAATGTGTTACAAACTGGCAGAGCCARAAATCCAGAACAAACTAACACCTTTCAGCAAAGCTTGGCTTGCTAACAACCAGGTCACGGTATGTGTAACTGCAACACTATGTGCARGAATGCTCTATTAACTTTCTGTACACAGCCTTCAGCATGGTCCTACTCCCCATTTGGACCAACTACTACAGAAACACATTTAAAATATTATATACTTAATCTTCCCCTGCCTTCACCCCTTATTCCTGCCATCCTAGGAAAACACCCTAAAAGTCAAAATAATTGGCAAACTTACAGTTTCTTAGGCCTTCACAGTTCACCTCAGCAATTATCTCAGTACACAAAACTGAGAATCCTTGTGGACTTTTCATTCTTCACTATATTAAGTTCTGGAAGAGTCCTTGCTACAAATTCATTCTTCCTCATAAAATAACATTTCATGACTTTGTCTGCACTTCACTGACTTTTCAAAATCTCACTTTCCAGTCAGGACTCCACTTGCAATAGATTTTTCAGGCACGTTACTGCATACTAGAACAAAGGAGTGAATATCTGCATCTTCATTCAGGATGTTACTGCATACTAGAACAAAGGAGTGAATATCTGCATTTTCATACAGGATGTGGGACAAAGGTATACAATCAGACTGGAAAAGAGGACAAATAACTATCCATCAACATATCTTGGACTCTAGTTTTCTTCCAGAATATCCTTCCCTACCAGATATTGGCAAGTCTAAAGGATGAAAAACAAACTGAAGAGAACAAAGGAGTGGTTGTCTCAGCCAAAACCTCTCTACATGAAGGAAATGTCATGGAGGCACAGATATGGGCCACTGAAGAAAAATGGGAGCATGTCATACTCCAGCCATCCTGCCATGTACCACTTGCCCTATAGCTCAGGATGTGAATGGCCCTGAGCTTGTGACTCCAAACTGCTGCAGAAAGGGAAAAGCCAGCAGGAGTAGGCATCATGTCTTGACAACTTAGCAAAACTGAAACCAAGTCTCTGCTCCAGCTAAGGGCCACCAGGCTGTGTGGTACACAACATCCTGGAGTGTATGAAGCAGGTAAGTCATTGCTAGAAGTGCTTATGTGTGTGTTGGCACAAATGGTGGTGAAATAGTCACTCTGAAGGAGGCTACTCCTTCCCAAGTCATCATGGACAGGAGCTGCCTGTCCCAAGGGRTCCATGTACCACTGAGTGCTCTGATGACAATCTGTCATATGCAGTGAAATTTCAGCAATTTAAACTATCCTTTGCACTTGTTTCAAGTATAAKATCATCTTTCCTGAATACTGCCATCCCAAAATAGCACAGCACACTTCTGAAAAGGCTTATTTGAACAATGACATTATTATTTCCCTCTCTCTGTTTTAAATACCTCCTCATGCATTCCACAGTCACACTTGCATTTCTCACCACCATACTACATCCATGATTCATAGTTATCCAGTCACCAACTGGTGCACAGGGTTGTTTCCAACTTCTGTTATTTTCAGCTAAGGAATGTAGAGTCTGCAGCAGAGCCATTATCAGAGTTAGATATTAGCTGACAATATTTCAATTTTCTCCCCCATTTCTCTTACTCTTCAAAGCATCTGGTAACTACAGTTTGAAATGTGATGTAATTAGTGTACTAATCCAATTCCCCACTTCAGTTAAATTACCAACATAAGAATCAACTGTCATTTTCCAGTGCATTTTACAATCTAGCTCAACCCTCTAACATACGCATTTTTCAGAGTGCGAGGCTGTCAGAGGTAAGCTCAGCTGTCTGGAATATCTGGTTATCACTTCTGATAGAAACCAGYTCTTTTGCATCAATATGTACAGGCAGACCAAAATAATAGTGGAAGGAAATAGATACAACAGAGAGATGATGTACTGCCATATGAGGTTTTTGAATATGCACAAACTGCTTTTAATAATTACAGTACACATTTCTTAGTTTGTACCCATAGAACGGGTTCTGCTTAATTTCTTGACAGACAAAACAGAAGAACATAACCTTTAAAATTATTTAAAACTACTGCATTTGCATTGATATGTACCTTATTCAGAACCTGAAGATCCAGAAATACCATAAATGCATTCAGCCAAGGAAGTAGAGAAAGCACCCAGCTCCTGCCACGCCTTTAGAAAAATCTACTCTCAACAAAGCATGCAAGAGRAAGTGTTCATCAGTGAACTGAAATCCCAGGTTTAAATTCAAACTCATTATTATCTTTTATCCTGTAAGGAACAGTATTAACAACATCATCATAAGAAACAGAGTCTATGAATATTCAAGCTAGATTTAATGCTATGACATGGGCACACTAAATAACATGACGCTAAGTCTGCATATAAACGTCTTCGGAGTGTTTGGATTTCCGACAGAAAAGTGCAGYGCAGATTTTATGTCCAGTAGGGACCCCTGGTGTTAAAAGCAGTTACAACAAAGATCAACATTCCTAGCAGAAAATCAATCCATTACTTTGGAAATAGCTGTCTTTCTGCATCCATCTTCCTCCTCTGAGATTAAGAAACAACACCTAGTTGTATTATTAGTTTAATTGTTAGTAGTTTAATTGTGAGTGTCTTATAGATCKGTGGTAGTCTTGCAAATGCTTACACATCACACCCTGTACTCATAGAGGCCAGAAGTTGGCTATTAAGCCCCTGGTTACTCCAAGAGCAGGCTACTGGGGCTGGACTGCAARCAAATTTTGCTAAGRYCTTGCAAATTTCCTGACACCAGGCYCTCTGCATTTTTGCAAGATACCTTACCAAAATAATTGGTAAGGCCTTAWGAAAAGAAATGAATTAATCAACTTCTGCATCATTCTTGTTTCAAGTCAACTGCTATGAAGCACAGCCCACTTTCAGAGAGACCACATATGCAGAATGTTATAAAACCTTTTACTTGTACTTAAAACTGCCTTTACATCTGATCCAGCCGAGATCTTTGTTCTGTCCCTCTCCCTACACTAAGCATCTTCTTTGATTTTCTCTTAGTTTAGACTTGAGTTCCTGCAGACTGTGTGTGGAGCATTCTGCCTTTTTCAGATTACCTTGATTTTATGTCTAATTCCCRTTAGAAAAATGCCTCTGGCATTCCCAGGAATAATTAATGCTTTGGCAGTTCCTGATAGCACTGTTTGCTTCTCAAATTGACATGGCATTTGCAGACCTCTTCTTATGGAACCAAGTTGACTTTGTTCTGTACTGCATTTTGAGGAGCTACCAGGAGGATCTTTTCAAAGTCATCGTATCTGTCCAACATAATTTGAGGAATATTATAAGAAGGGAAGTACTGTAGTAATACATCCTTATTCTATAAGCCAGCACAGAGGATTGTTAAATTGAAATGTATTTCTGGTAGAATTTAAGTGTAGAGTGTTACCATATAACTTTGCAAACAAACATTTCACACACTTACACACCCTTCTGTTATCTGAAGGGACATACAAGGAAGAGGGATTCTTTGTCAGGAACCTCAGTGATAGGACAAGAAAGAATAGATTCAAACTAAAAGATGGGAAATAGATATATGGAAGAAATTCATTACTGTGAGGGTGGYGAGGCATTGGAACAGGTTGCCCAGAGAAGCTGTGGATTCACCTTTCTCTGGAAGCATTCCAAGGCCAGGACAGGGCTTGGAGRAACCTGGTCTAAYGGAAGGTGTCCCAGCATATGGCAGGGGGTTTGAAATGAGATGATCTTTAGGGTCTCTTCCAATCCAAATTATGCTGTGATTCTATGATTATGTACCACCTGTGGAACACTACAAACGATACACAGTAGAGAATACCTAAAAACATGAGCATAAAGTCATTTGGGAATAAGGGGAAGCAATCTCTCCTGGCCTCCCTTTTCTTCATTTTGCCTCTTTGGTAAATATAAAAAGCTGATTTTGTTTAGTCTTTGGTCACTAGTCAAATGACTCTGGGGGAAAAATAAAGCCAAGATATCTAATTCTCATCTTTTCCATTTCGCTACTTACAATGCTCTCCCATGCTTYCCAACAAGCAGGTCCCAATGAGAGTCAGACAGGCGTTGCTGCATGGCCTGTTCTCCAAATCAGCAGGGCACTGGTAACATGTATTTTCGATTTGAAGACTGCTTTAGTTACGACAGAAGGGGAAGGGAGGGCTGGTGCGCTCTGAGCACCGCCCCCGGGGRRCGCGTCACGGGCGGSCGGCGCGGTGCGGGGCGGTGCGGGGCGGTCGGCGCGGAGCGSTGCCGGCAGTCGCGCCATGCACTCCCTCACCCAGGAGATCCGCAGCTTCTCCAGRGCCAACCTGCGGAAGCAGCGCACCCGCGTGACGACGCTGACCGGCCGCAGGATCATCGAGACGTGGCGCGGCGCCTGCCTGCACATGGAGGAGGAGGAGGAGGCGGCGCCCGGCGGCGGTTTCGTGCAGGATCTCAGCGCCGATCTGCAGGTCGGCGTGGTGAAGCCCTGGCTGCTGCTGGGTGAGTGGGGCTGGGGGCGGMGGGCACGGTGCCGCCTGCCGGGCAGGAGCTCAGCGCAGCCACGGGCACGCTCTCTCTCTCCGTAGGGTCGCAGGATGCTGCTCACGACCTGGAGACGATGAGAAAGCATAAGGTAACGTTACATTGGACATACAAATGCATCTCGGGTAATGCGTGCAGTGAGCATCTTTTGTAAGTTGAGAATTCTAAAATATTCTCTAGCAAATCTGAGGAAAACTGTATTCCACTTGCATTTTCAAAAAGCTGTTCCGTTRGCAGAGGAATGGGTTTCTGTTGGCTTCATGAGAAACTAAAATGCTTTCAGAGAATCCCAGAATCTTCCAAGGGACTTCTGGAGATTATATAGTCGAAACTCCCTGCCAAAGCAGGGTCACCCAGAGCAAGTGACACAGGAACGTGTCCAGGTGGGTTTGGAATGTCTCTAGACAGGGAGACTCTATGACATTCCTGGGCACCTCTTCCAGCGCTCAGCCACCCTCAATGTAAAGTTCTTCCTCATGCTGAGATGGAACTTCTTAATGTTTTAGTTTATGGCTATTGCTTCTCATCTTATTGCTAGGTACCACTGAAAAGAGTCCTGCTTTCCTGCAAGAATGATGATTGTTTAAACCTGTTTAATGGAACAGATTCCTATGCTGTCATATGCATTTCCACTTCAGACACTAAGCAGCRCATTCCCCCTGGCCTTATGCGGACTGATGAAACTGGAAAAACAAAGCAGCTTCTCTAAATCTGTCCCAAACTTTTGTTTTTTACTTTTCTCTGTTGCAGTCATAGGGTGAATAAAGCCTTTGGACAGTCGTGCTTCTGCAGKGCAGGGAGTGTACCAGGTTGGAATCTGGTGCCATATAATGTCACTGCACTGTAACTTAAAATAACCCACAACCTGGTTGTAGCCTGGACAGAGCAAAGATGGCAGAGGTGGTGTCRCCTGCCAAGAAAAGGTGTGGTTTACTCTGAAATCCTTCTGCTTCAGCAAATGGTTCTGGTAACTAACCAGAAGGTGCATTAAGCTGATGGGTTAGGGCAGGCTTGAAATTTGAATTATTGGGTGGTCTGTGCTCTCATTCCTATTGATTTCTCTTTTTTTTTTTTTTTTTTTCTTTTTTTTTTTTTTTTTTTCCAACTCCCTTTTCTGCTGAAAATCCATTTTTAGTCT